TTTTATCTACAACTATTGAATTATCTATTCGTTATACAATTGATTTTTGACGGGTAATGACACTCATTACCCATGACAGACAAAGTGTTGAATAATGAGGCCATTATTCCACACTTCTGACACTGCCTACTAATCAAAAAATAAAATATTAACAGAAATGACAGCTTTCTTATATTGAGGTTATGTCTGAAATGTCTATCAAGTTTATTTTTTTTTCGTTTTTTTGATTTTTTTTTCAAAATTAAATAGTTGTAGATAAAGTATAGTATTCAACTTGCGTATAATGGATGTTACCCACTCAGATTACAACACTCGCTCGCTTCGCTCGCTCGTGTTGCAACTTCTTCTTCATGGATAACAGCCGCCATTATACGCTTGTTGAATAATATACTATTATCGTACATCTATTTAATCGTGTAATAACTAAATTTGTCGTATCTTTAATATTACCTTGTAAAATCATATTCGATTTTTGCCGTATGTACCAAATCTCCCATGATTTATAAGGATAAACGCAGTATATTTGCAATGCTAAGAATAAACGCGGTATGAAGCCCATTCGCGCCTAAAGATACCGCGGACATCCTTAGTACGCAAAAAATACCGCGCTCTTTCTTAGTAACGCCTAAATTTTCTGTAGCAACAACACACACTATGACATGCGCATTACAATAATTGTTTTAATAATTCTGACAAGATGACATTGAGTTTTAGCTGTGCCAGTGCAAATTAATCTGATTTTATCAAGAACTGGTGCTTTTTGACATTTTTGGTTAGAATGGTTAATTCTTCAGATATATCAGCCAGTGAAATTCTAGTAAACTACTTTGAGCCCGGCCACAGTTTTATGGCCGCTGATAGCTTTCATCACCAGATAGAACTATCCTTAAAAAGACATGGGAAAATATACGACTTTGATGATTTTTCTAAAGCGGTTCGTGAGTGTAGAATTAAAAACAAGCCAGAAATGAAAGTTATGAATTTTACTGATTTTTATTTATGGAAAGATTTTAAATCCCAGCAAAAAGTCAAACAGGACAGCAACCGACCGCTTCTGACAAATATAAAACAGCTACAAGCAAGCCGCGGATCATTTGTTCTAAAATACAAAAACTCGTTTGATCCAAACGCAGAGCTCAAGACCTTGGATTTTTTGTGCAAGAAGGCAATGAAAAAATGTGGCTTAGTTCTTCCATTAACCTACCTTTCTGGACCACGAGGCTTTCTTAAATAAGAAAGATGAACTATTAAGGGTGTTAAACGGTATCATTCCAGAAAGCAGGCAAATATTTTGGAAAAATTTGCCCGAATGCGAAGAATAATGAATATATATTACCTATTGTTAAAAGCCTTTTTAAAATCCATTTTTTATTTCTTATTTTAATAAAATTGTTGTTGATATATTTCACGTGTCTTTAAAAAAATGAATTTCATGCACATACCACGCTACGGATAAACGCGGTAAGGCAGAAAATCAACACTTACCGCGTTTATCCTTAGAATGTTACAATAATTTAACAAAATATATTGCGGTATGTGGAATCTTGAGAAAAATACAGTATTTTTTTAAATTTAAGCTATTTAGGGAATAAACTATAGTCACAAAACAAAGGTATTCACCCAAAAAAGTAAACTTTTATGACACATATCTAACGGCTGAGAGAGAACACAAAAAACGTGTTTTCTCAGTTTCACGTTTTTGTGACATACCGCGTTCTTCTTTATGAGGGCAGTACTAATATTAAGGGACATAACAGATAATTATTTGCTCACATGCATCAAGTGTGGTAAACAAGTAAGTCTTTGACAAGAACTCATTGAGAAGGCTTGTTTTTCATGGCACACTAGGCTAAATATCCATATGATATGTGTGCATTTTTCAAAAAACCCTAATTATCTCCCAAACTATTAATGTTAGGCATAGGACATATAGAGTATAAAAGATGTAAAATGAGACGCCGAAGACGACTAAGTAATAAAATATGGGGTGCCATTTAAAAAAATGAAGTTATAGTGCTTCCAAATTTCGAAAAGTTAACGTGTCATAGTAAAGTGACCAAACGTTCTAGACAGCCGTTCTCGGCACCAAAACATACTCCATCATGTTGTTTAAGCATATTCTGAATCCTAAATTGATATCCCAAAAATTGAGTGTTCTCTGATTTTTTGAACAAATGTCTGCTAGAGCAGATTTTTCTAGAAAAATTCGATTAACTCGAGAACGGCCGAATCAAATTGCAAAAAGTAAAGTTATTTATAAACCTTCAAAACAGACAAATCCAAATATGTAAAAATATACAGGGTGTTCCATCTAAAAAAATAAAGTAGGTGGCGACTTCCGGTATAACCAGAAGTGCTAGAAAACTGAAAATATTTTAGACGAAGAGATCGTAATTGATAATACTTAAGTCTGAATTCTCAAATTTTTATTTTCGCCAGAACTCCAGAAACGTCTAATGACCGGTCTCGCTGAGACACCCTGTATATAAATATAAAAATAATTAATTACCGAAGTTGTACCCCAACCAGATAATATCAAATTTTCACCCCCTTTCATTTCATTTTCCCCCAATCCGATAATTTTCACTTTATCATTAAATTTTATATCATCTTTCGTTTTAATTAAGGCAATATCATCAAGTAATGTGCTCCTATTAAATCCTTCATGTGGAATAATTTCTTCGACTTTATAAGTATCGCCACCAGCATCAAGTAAATTACTTCCTGTTACAACGGTGAATTTATCTACTTTTTGCCTGAAAACAAATTATTAATAAATGTTTAAAACAAAATAGTTAAGATTTTAATACTTATTAACACAATGAGCGGCAGTTAAAACCCAACTTTCACCTATGATTGATCCACCACAAATGTGACGCTCATTATATCTTAATGAAATTTGATGCGGAAACTCTCCATCAGCTGCATCATATCCACCAACAATTCTGCCGTCACTTTCACAAACTTTAAATAGATTAGTATGTACTAATTTTTTTTTAATTAAAATTAAGTATACTCACCACAAATTGATATTTGTGAAATTATAAACGAAGAGATTAAAAAATATAACATTTTTGTGGTACGAAGGCTTGAAATAAATTGTTGACTTAAAGTTAACACCCACTTCTTATATACAACTTTTTTTATCGAAAATTGTTGTTTTAATCTAAATTTATTTTAACCAATACAAGACTTGAAATGATTACATAAATAAAATTTACAAATTAGATAGATAAAATAGTAATTTTATTCCTTCTAAATGATAAACACGATTTGTAATCAAAGTGTTGAAGTTTGCATGTTATCATTAATCCAACCTAAATAACTATAAACTCGCGTAAAAACGTCGGGGCTCCCTTTCCCGCAAGGAATTCCCCAAGACACAACACCAATTTGATGATCTCCTTCAACTAGTGGACCTCCAGAATCACCCTGTAATAATTTTTTTTAATTTAATTTAAAATTATTTCTTACAATTTACGTGACAAGCTCCTTCTCCTGCTTTTGAAAATGTACAGACAGTCGTTGTGGAAACACCCCCCATAAAAAATCCAAGAATTGGATGTTCCAACATGCATCTTAAGTTAGGTATTGTGGTTAATTCGATTGTTTGAAGTTTGTTTGGGGGTTTTCCGGGGTACTAAAAACATTATATTATTTTAAAGAATTAATTTGTTTAATAATTTATTTACCGTTAAAGTTCCCCATCCGGATAAAACAACACCAACATTAGGCCCAATGTCATCACTTGGTAACTTAATCTGCCCAACTTTATCTCCATAATGTATGTTATCGGTTAATTTAAGAAGGGCTATATCGTTTTTGATCGATTGAGAATTATAATCGGGGTGTTGAATAATTTTTTCAACCTGATAACTATCTCCGCCTGTATCCAATAGATTACTTCCAGTTACAATAGTAAAGTTATCAGGTTTTTGACCATCTATACAATGAGCTGCGGTTAAAATATAATTTTCCTGAATAATAGAACCGCCACAAATATGATGACCGTTATATCTTAAAGATATTTGGTAAGGAAATTGTCCGTCGGTTGCATCGTGACCACCGACAATTCTACTTTGATTATTATTAGCAACTAAATTAAAATCGAAAAAGAAATTTAAGCAAAAAAATTAATGCTTTCAATAATTCTTACCAGTTAATGCAAATTGGCCAACGCTTAAAATGAAATGATACCTTAAAAAGGTTATTATTGCTCTCATTTTCAATGATTTGAAACACTACTTTAAAAATATATTTTTCGTCATATTTATAAGCAAAATTTTATCAAGAACTTCCGGTTCATTTTGAGGACAATGTAGCCATGAATATACATATAAAAGAAATCCTATCTAGTTACGATAAAATTTGCAATATTTTAACGTTTATAATTATTAGTATCATTTATTTATGACTGTTTTGTTTTATTTTGATCCACACTAAAATTAGATAATATGAATGTATTAATATTAACAATTATAACCGCATTTAAATTGTCTTCTTAAATAAAGTGCATTTTACAATTAAAATGATAAACTTAAAACTATATAAGTATAAAAGTAGTAGTCATATTTAGCAATATCATTCAAAATGTTACAACTTTCGTTTTACTTATGTGTCTTATCATTACAAAGTGAATTTGTTTGGAGTAAAAGTAAGTGTTATAGGTAATAAAGTTCGTTATAAATTTTATTTATCTTTAAACTAAGATTAGAACTAAAACTAGAAACTTTCGGGTTTTGCCGTGCGTCTTTTAATAAAAGGTTTGACGTTTCGGATGCCATGTTGCAACCTTCTTCAGAAACTGGTTCGAAGTGACGAGATCAAAAAATCGGTAACTATATATAAGTCGGAAAAACTAATTAATAATCAGTTAACGCTAATTACAAACTAATTAATAACTAATTGCGTCGCGTCCGGTGTGAGGCGGGAAGAGGTCTTCGTGTTCACCACCATCTTCCATGTTCTGCTAAGCTCCCAGCCATCCTCTCTGTTGACGTTATTTTTATGTCGGTGAATCTCTATGGCTTCTCTTGTCAGTCTTTGGTAGTATCTGTTGTCCCTAGCCAGCACCTTTGTTTGTTCGAAGTCTATTCGGTGCCCCTCTGCATGGCAATGTTCCGCAACCGCCGACTGCTGGATCTTCTTCAGCCTTACATCCCTCTCATGCTCCTTGATGCGGCACTCGACGTTGCGTCCAGTTTGGCCAACATAAACCTTCCCACAACTACACGATAGTCGATAGACTCCCGCTCCTTTTAATGGAGTTAGTTTGTCCTTGGCTATCGGGAGTGTGTTCCGAATTTTGCTGACCGTGCCGTACCGCACTACGATGTCGTTCTTCTTGAGGTGCCTAGCAATTCGTTCCGTTACACC